TAAACCACGACACTCTGCAAAGTAAAATTTGTCATTGGGGCTGAGAGAGCTGATGTGGAAACTTAAAAGTAACTTCATCACTCTTCTGTTTATTATATGTATCTTTTAAGGTTCCTTTCTAATTACATAAATTAAAATTGACTTCTACAAATCTGGAGATGTGCTGCATATGTTTCTCTGTACAGCATATGGCAGCTTTTGAAACAGCCCAGTGTCATAATATATAGACTATACAGAATGCACAGAGTAAAATATACAGAGTAAAAATGACTGAACATTCACAATTATGTCTCTGAGCAGTAATGCTTTCCCTGATCGGTCCATGGCCATGAACCCTAGAGTTACTCTCAGAGGAATTCTGCTGATGCGTGAATATTTGCCCCCTTAATCACTGATACTGGTTTGTGTGCTACCATGTCAAACAGAACATAAAACCTACCAAAGCGTTTGTATATATTTGGATTTCCTGACCTCTAGCTCTTCGAAAACAAGATGAAGTCCATTGTCCTACTTGCCACTATGGCATCCAGAGTGCTTGCAGGCTGCTGTAAGAAGAACTATTTTTCCAAAAACTACAGCTGAAAGGAAACCAAGCCAAGAAAACCTGTGTTACACAAGAGGCCAGATTTTGTCCTCAAAACCAGTGTGTGCAGCGGTGCAGAGATGCTACTTATGACACCAGATAAAACAGAGTCAGGAATAAGTGATGATCTCTGGAGGCTGTCAGTTATAATAACAGCCAAGAGCCTTTCCAGCTGCTGTCTCATGTTGGCGTAAGAACTGGTCCACAAAGCTGAGTATAATATACAAGATATCTGCCTCCCCTCCCAGTCAAAGCTAGAAATAGGTGTAGGACTCTGAAAAGCTTGATGACTCCAACACATATGAAGCTGAGGAAGACACAGCTGTATTTGGTCCAAGTTGTACGTCGTGATGAGTGACACGGTTAACCTGCTTTTCCTCCATGCTCTTTGCATGCATGTTTTATTTACATGAACCATCACATGCTGAGGTGGTTGATGTGCCCTGTTAGTCTTATATCTTAAATGATTTTTCTAGATGCCCGGAAAAGAGTGTTCACATGTTATGGTGGATTTAAAGAGGAACAATACACCTTTGACACAACCTTAGTCTTTTCCCTTTGGTCCTCTCTTAAATGTACCCAGTCAGTTCATGCACTTTAGCTTCTGGATATCAAACTAAGTGTTTATTTTCAGGATGAATTAACAAATAACCACTTGGGAGAGGGGACAGACTTTCTCTACTCCCTCCAGCAGCCTTCTCCTCTTGCTGCTGGTGTGGCACAGCCCTGGCCGCTGACTTCCACAATTAGTAGCTTAAATCATATAGAAAAGTGATTTTACAGGCGTCCACAGGAGGAGGATTTCACAGGAGCTTTTTCTCCTCCCACCACAAAACCTGAAAGCAACATGTCTGCTTTGGTCCAGCCCAACAAGGGCTACTGAGCTGGCCCAAGTGAGCAGCACCAGCACAGCTCTAGCAGCCTCCTGGCTCACCTGAAATAACAGCAGCTATTCTCATTTGTCACAGTATTTCCACAAGTTTTCCATGCCTGTTCTGAAATTACAACTTTTGCCAAAAAAAAATCTATTTAGTGCCATTTGCCTGTGGAGAAGTGTTTGGGCCATCAACAGCTAATACTGGTGGTCTGGTAGAAAAGAGGAATAATTACAATTCCTCTTCAGATCAATGGTATTTACTTGCCTCTAAATATGCAGCATGGTTTACAGCTTTAAACGACCTTAAGTAATTATTTTCTAGGCAGAACAGAAAATCCATTTCCATTAGTTTCCAAAGACTCAGAAAGTATGTATGTAGGAAGATCACTTCCATAAATCCACCTTTTCAGAGTCACGAGGTAACCCAGAATTTATGCAAGTGCAGGTCAATCAAATCATTCAGTATTTATATGCTCCTTTTCAAGCTCCAGGGAACTGGAGTAAACTGCTAAAAATAAAATACACATGTTGTAATACGCAGAAGATTTAGAGATGGAACTATTCTGACAGCCCAAAATAAAAAGCTTTATGCATAAGATCTCAAAGGATAGGTCTGTACCTAAATCACATATTGATTTAACTCACTGTAGACAAGTTATATAAGCTTTAGAATTATGTATGCTTGATCAATGTGTTTTAGAACTGAATCTCTGTCTGACTTAATCATTTAGGCAAGGGAAGAAGTCACATAAATATTCCTACATTTTATTTTATAGGACAGTAAACCAATTTCTAATCAAATCTGTAAGTAAACAGCATTATTTGTTTCCAAGAAATATCAATATTAAAATACTTTCCAAAGAAAATCTGAAAACAGAGTTCAAAAATTACTGTTACCTATTAAACACACAGATTACACTGATACGCGAGTATACAAACATGATGATCAGAGATACAGAGGCAAATGCAATACCCCTATGTAATATCCAGGGATGGAGAGTCCTAGCACCACACTGAAAAAAAATTGGAGGTTTTTTTCTCACCTCAGAGAGGTGAGAAAGTTGGATGTGTTTGATATTTTACTCCTTTGAAGTGCTAACAGCGATTCTACACTTGAGTGCAGGAGCAATGTCCCACTTCAGTGCAAACACACCAACCCTATGGTAGGGGAGCAATAAAAGCTTACACCTATATAAGCAGATCTCAAAGTGTTTTACAATGGAGGGCATTTTCTCAGGTTAGAGATAGAGAAACTGAGGCACAGAAAGGCACAAAATGACCCCCTGAAAGGCACAAGGCAATCTCAGGTATAAATACCAAGAGCGAAGTTTTTTATTTAAATGCCAAATCTAGTAGTGCAAACCTCCTTTCTTAACCACATTATTGCTCAAATCCCACTGATTTGATCAGTTGGAGCTCAAGGACTGATTCTGACCTGGCTTAGAGCTGGGTCAATCACAAACACACTCCTCAGCTTTTCCCTAAGCTCCTGTGTCCTAGCGAATTTTGGGGCAGTCCAAACAAAAGGTAAAAAGCCAACTCGCTGTTGCAGTTTCTCTGGGTGGCCACAGCAATAAAAAAAAACCCACAAAAAAAACCCCACACCAACAACAAACCGATGCCGACACCATTCATGGGTCATTGCCAGCAGCAAGGAAACAAGCTCTGCTCCCAGCAGAGCATCGCCCTCACCCAGCAGAGGGTGAACCTCAGCACAGACCCGTGGCCAAGTCCACATTGATACTCCCCAAGCCACCAATGCATGAAAAACCAGGCAAAGCAGACTGCTGCAGCCTCAGGGGATTCCCTGCAAAAATGTATAGTCAAACAAGGAGGGAAGCCACTTACCGTACAGGACTGTAATGAGCGATACGGGCATGACCAGGATACCCACCAGCATGTCTGCCACCGCCAAGGACATCAGGAAGAAGTTTGTGGCATTCTGCAACTTCTTCTCCAAGGACACAGCCATAATTACCAGTATGTTCCCCCCAATGGTCAGCAGGATAACAACCAAGATCAGGAGGGCAGGCCAGTTCTTCTCCCTCACGGACATCCGAGAGACTTCACCCTTCTCAGAGGCATTAAGAGAATCAGATGTAGGCAAACTCTGATTCAGAGTCAAATTGCTGCTTAAGGACCAAGCCATCAGACCACCATGCAAACTAAAATCCAGTGTAACAGACACTGTTGTTAAGCTGAGTAATATTCCAGTGCTACTTAAAGCGCTCATCGTCTGGAACTAGTTTTTCTGTCTCTTAACCTTGCCTCGGAGATGATCCCTTTTCCAAATTGCAGGTCCAAGGCAGATGCTGAACTTCACAAAACCTGAGCCAGAAAATAATTTTATCTTCCATAGTGAAACCTTACGGAAGTTAGCGTGGAGCTCTTCTAGTTTCCTTGGGTGTGGTGGAACATGACCCCTGACTAGCAACCTCAAGGGAAAGGAGACTTTGCAATCTCCAGCTGGTTTCCAGGTCCATCATTCTGAAAAGGAAAGAAAAAGTATATTCTTCACTGAAATCATAGTATACACACCACCTTCTTTATCCCCATGCAAATGACATTCTTATTCTCTCCCTTCCTGCTGGCTAGGATGTTCTCCAGACTGCAAGTAATTTATCTTATGGGTACAGACTATGCCTACAATTATGGGGGAGAGGGGGAGAGAATCGCATCAGTGTGCAGTGTGCTCTGGCTGGTTAAAAGCTGATTATCACTAATTAAATGTTTTGTGAAACCTGCAAAAGCAAGTCTGAAGAGCAAAATATGTTTCAATTGATAGCCACTTCACAGATACTCTACTGCTGTGTAAAATAGTAATTGCACGAAATTCCAACCAATCCAGAGAGTGCAGCCAAAGCGCAGTGTAAACCATCTCTTTAAATGGAAGTGTTTGGATATATTTTGCATATTCTGAAATAAAGCGCATTTGAGGGTGTTGTAAAAACCCTCAGATGTTAATGATTAACTCTGCTATAATAACAAAGACTATAGTTTGGTTTTTATTGGGAAATAAATGGTGGATAAGACGCAATATGTATTAGGTAATATGCTATGCTGTCAATCCCTCCAAACAAACAGATAACAAAGAGTTAAGAGAAGAGAAAGTACAAACTTTCATAAAAGCTGAGCAGTTATTTCTGCTCTTCTTCATCTGTTTTTGTGCCACTGTGCTTCCGTGCTGATCACCAGCATGCAGCTGGGCCAGGAAGTCCGGTCCCACCAGTCTGCTGCCCTGCACATGCAAGTATCAGCACCCTCATCACACACACAGTCAGTAGGATAGATTTCCTCAGAGTATCTCACATGATTTGTGCTCCTTCACAAATCATTTGACAGTGAGGTTAAGTCAGATTATGTTCCCTGACTGCCCATGTAATACAGGCCAGAAAGCATCACACTGTTGCCTCGGAAGGAGTCCATTAGCCTCATACATTGACCTAATTCAGCAAATTAAACATACTCAACTTCAGGCACATGCCTACACCCACTGATGCTAAGCGCATGTATTCCCAGTCCTGGCTAAATCATATCCTCAGCAACTCAATTGTTTTGACTGCCAATCCTGTACAACTGATGAAAACATCAACGTTGCTTTGCATTTCCATTGCATCACAGTCAGGATCCTAACAATCATGTACAGCATAGGACTAAAAGCACAGAAAGAAAGCAGTTAGTAGAACAACAAAGAAATCCCCCACACTATGGAAGTCGATCAATAAGTAGAATAAAATCAATAGCATGCAACTTACGTTGAGCATATCCTCAACTTTTTGTTCAGTCCACAAGAAAAGAGCTGTTCTATCAACTCTTAAATAAATAACTAAATAAAAGCCAGATTTTAGCCCTTGAATACACTGTGGCACACATGTGACACCACAATTTGCTATCCAGGGATCAAAAGCTAAATGTAATTCTTAGCATTACATTAGATTTTATGTAAAATAAGAAGCGCTCAGAGTCCTATAATAAAGTGTTTAACATTCATGGAGGTTTTGGAAACTTACTAATGGGCTTTGCGCACAAAAACATTTCTTAAATGAGCAGTGTGCACAATGAACCCAGATTTGCTTCTGCATTATAGTTAATTACTCCCAAAGGGTCTCTAAACCTCATATTTAGGAAGAAGTTTTGCACTATATGCACAGAAAATAATTTTGCAGCTGCACATGCAGATGAATTAGCAAATAGTCACTGGACCATTTATTTTTCCAACTTAGCTTGTCTAAAAAAAGTCTCTAGAAAGTTTCAAAATACTTCAGAGGGGTTTTTTGTGTTTTTCCCCCCCCCCCACCCCCCCGCCCCAGCACAGCTTTTACTTTAAAGCTGTGAACAAAATTAACCATTTTTCCAAACCACCTTTCAACAGTGAAGGAGACACAAGGCAGCTTTGTGACACTTGAGCTTTGCTGTGCAGGACACCCCTACTAAAGCCAGTGGAAATTTCTGGGTCTCCAGAAACTCTCTCTTCAGCTCCGTGACTCTTGGCCACTCCTGATCATGCCACAGTAATACTTGGTTCATGCCCAAACACGAGGACACAGTCAGACAGCGGGATGCCCAGCCTTGGTCTTACTTATTCCCGGGTCTGAGCTCTTGGAGGTTTTGGAGAAGGTGATGCTACCACCACTCTCGTCACAGATGTAAACAAGCTTGATGATCCTGGCATGTGCTAGTTGGGGTTGCTGAAGGAACATGGGCAGGGAGATGCCTCAACTCTAGATCATAAACACCCCCCACACCAAAAAACCCAAACCAAAACCAACTTCACTGTAAGATAAAATCAGACATTTTAAATCAGAAATCTTATAACTGCTCAGGACTGAATTCCGAAATGGTCAGTAGGGTCATTCTCTCTTGCATCTCACAAATGTATCTGCAGTATCATTTTCTTCCATGAATGATGTTGCATCAGAGGATGGAGGAAAAAAAAAATGGTAGGCAGAATTATCACTTGCTTATTCATCAGTTTTATTATTAAAAATAAAATGTACCTTATTTGGCTACTAATGGACTGCAAAGCATGGGATTCCAAAATTATACTAGTCACCAAATACAATTTGCTTAGAATTAAATTACCCTCATAAGAAAAATCTGTTTTGTCAGGAAGGTCTAAGAAAGGGAGACTTCAAAATTCATTTACTTGCGCTAAACGAGCGGTTTTCAAACACACACAGAGACAGACTGAGCAAAATGCTTTCTACACAAAGTAAACTCTGCAAATCTGGTACACACAAACTTCTCAGCAAGAAAATTATATTTTCTGAAGTCTAACAGATTTCTCAATAGTCCTCCCCACTCCCCGTCAGCAGTTAAATATGTACATGTACTACATACAAGAGTAAAATTATGCTATGACATTGAGAAACTAATTTTTTTTAATTAGGACTATAATGGTAAAAATGAATATCAGACTCCTAATTCCATCTTTTTTATTAGAAGGGTTATATAGATACAGATTTCTTTTAAAACTTGGCCCATTCACCTGTCTATTACTTGGAGTGGCTCATGAAGAGAACCATTACTATTTTTGTGCCAATGCAGAACTAGGAGAAGAAAAGGAAATCACAAAGACACCTAAAAAAGCATTTTCCAGGTGCTCTTATGGAAACGCAATAACTGAAATAACTGGGTACCTATGTAGGAGAGATACATAGGAAAAAAGCAATGACACTGGCAGGAGCTCTGCCTTATCCTATAGCCCCCAAATTCCTAGTTTAGATGGATTGAAGACATTGGCACTGCTCTGTAAGTCACCTTGTCCCTGACGGTGGCCAGAAAGAAGTTGGCAGCCCTCATTCTCGCTGCCACTGACAGCCACCCTTGGGTGCAACCAGGTCCCCACACCTGCAAAATGGAGGAAGGAAGAACTAACCTCTCAGACCAGAATAACATCACTGCTTGTTTTGATGTTGCCTAAATTTAGCCATCATCAGGTCTGGCATAAACTGTGACAGACCTTCACCTCTTACCTTGGCATAAACAGAAAGAAAAATATTACATGGAAGAGAGGCAACTCTTAGGTCTGAGCCAATGCTTCTGGCTCCATTCTACCACATTTCTGTGAAAAACCCTGTGCTAGAGTGCTTATCAAGTCTCATTGACCCTCTTTTTTTCTACATTGCCTTTATTTATTGATTTTCAGTTTTCAGTGCCTGGAGAATCAGTTATTCATCCCAAAATAGCATCAGGTTCTCTAGTGGCAGGAATACCTTGGAGAGGACATCAGGATGACAAGGGTTTTCAAAAGTGGTATAGGTTTTATCCAAGATTATAATGGTAAAAATAATGGTTAAAAAACACCAAAAAAAAAAAAAAAAAAAGCCCCAAACCTATCTCAACTGCCTTAAAATCAATAGAGGAAGCATTTTGCATATTCATTTTGAAAAATGATACATGTGAATTTGACTACAGTGATGCTCAAGACTGGGCTCCACCTTCAGAATTAACCATCCTATTGCTTTGTTAATACTTTTCTATTATTTTACATGGATTCTGGCTTGAAGTCATCAGCTTTCTTTTTCACTGCATCCCTCAGTCTCCACAAGGTAAAACTTCATGACTAATTCCTTCCAGCTACAGTCTTCTAAGCACATCACTGTACCAGAAAAATAATTCACATTTTATTCGTGAATTCTGCATATATTTAAGAAATATCTCCATAATTTTAAATTAAAACCTGTGCCTACCACAGAATTTTTTTCCAATAGCTAACTTCAAAGCACACATACTGAATTTTGTGGTAAATCATCAATTCCAGTTCAATCTACTACCAACAATTAAAAATATAATTTAAACATTCAGCAAAGCCAACTTCTTATATATGCCACTCTTGTTTTTTGATAGAGATAAGTAATGAGTTCTTTGGGCACTTTTTTTCCTTCAGTCTTTAAGTCCACTTTAGAATAAACTGAAGCTAGAAAAATATTTTTGTTTCCCTTCTATCAAGAACACATGAATTATTTAAAACAAAAGTTCGGTATGATGAAGTTTTGAGATATTCCAGAAGGTTAGTTGAAGGGAAGCAAAAGCTATGGTGGTTCATAAGTCTGTACTGGCAGGGCACTGGGGTGTTCACACACCTTTGGGAGTGTTTACCATCATTACTCTTGCTAAAAGGAAAAAATAAACAAACCAACCAACCTTTCTTGGAATAAACACTTTTTTTTTTCCTTTGATTTAAATGCATTTGTCTTTAGTTGCTTTACCCTTCAAAGCTCAGAATATTTT